TTATTGTAAAATTTATCATTTACTTTTTATCTTTAGTTGAAGGCATGCAACTGCGTTCCAAATGTATTTAGCTGAAGCCATAAAAAGCACTCTTCAGGTGAGGAATAGATCGGTTTCATAACAAAAGAATTGTCGCATTTGTTTGTGAGATTGATAATGATCCCTCTAAGTCAATCAGCTCTATAGCCAGGGACACAGGAATGTTTCTTATCAAGAAGGTAGTGGATAAAGACATTCAGTATTTTTCATACAAGATGAGAAAAGGGACAATGTATTCCAAGCCATGAAGAACAATAAGACAGCGCGACGTTGCTTGTGAACAATGTCAAGCATCCCCAAAACTGAACAAGCTTAGGTTTTTATAGGCGAGAAAAAATTCTATCAGTTTAAGATGGTAACATCATAGAACAACCTTTGGTTTGATGTGTCCCCAAAATATATACTGAGAGTGGTGAAAACCAAATATCAAGTCAACATCTGGATGTTCAAACTGACTACTAGTTATGACGACGTTATATCGCCATTTGTATTCCTACAGGGCCTCAAATTACACATGGAGTCCTACATCGTGCCTTGAGGAGGTAGTACTGTCCTGGGTCAAGGGGTTGCTTGTCTTTTTTTTCTTTTTTTTCTCAATCTCTGACGAAGCATCTATAACATTGAAACATGTTAGATTGATAAAGTTTTCCTAATTGTTCTTTATCTTATCATAGATAGATAGATGTAATAACAGCAATAACTGTATGTAATATGTTTATTATTTCAAAAGATATCCTGCTGGGCAAATCATATGGTGAATGAAAATAAAGAAAATAAATAAACTTTTTGCGTTGTTAAACTCAACAACTTATTTGAGAAGAGCATCAAATTATGTAAACAAAAAAAGAAAAAAGAAAAATTAAAAAAAAAATAGAATTTAATGGGGAAGATTTGAATACTAGGTTATTAAGATTTTGGCCAGCATTTTATGTACTTGAATTTGTAAAACCGCACGAGCATATATTATTATTATTATTATTATTATTATTATTATTATTATTATTATTATTTATAGTAGTAGTAGTAGTTAATGCGAAGCGTTATGAATACTGGGAATACATCAATATAGTAATTTATTTTCCACCTTCATAGAACTATTTGAAGCCCCCACATATCTGACTGGATCGATATTTCAAGCAACTGCCTCGGCGAGGCTCGTCTTCGGAGCGTCGTATTATTTATTAAGCAATTGTCTTGAATTCGTTCGACTGTGGCGAAAACAAAGGGCTTCGGTATCGCTCTGTGGCAATTAATTGTTAATAAGCACAATGCAGATAAAGGATAATATAAGATTTCCAAGGACCTTACTTTCGCTAAATCGAAAGTACCGTCCATAATATATAAACCCACAATAGATAGCGATATGAAAAAAAAATAAGCTTCAAAGAGATGGTTGACTTCGAGAAGGCTTAACAACGTTCACGAGAAAGTTAGTCAGAAAATTAACACCACCAAAAAGAAACTGCTTACGTTAAATTGTCTGAATGCTTGATGGTAGTATCAACGATAATCCCTCCTTGCAACATCTCAGCATAAGGTTTTTCGCTGACATGGAGTGGAAAGGTTTTACTGAGGCAATTGTAAGATCTGTGTCTAGAAAAAACTGTTTCACTGCGTTGTGCTAGATATTTGTATTTGCCAGAATGCATCTTACCCATTTATAAGTCTATCATTCGCACTTGCTTTGAATATTGCTTTTACATCTGGATTCTTCCTTCTGCCTTGTATTCAGATATTCCACATAAAATACAAACAAGAATTAGCAATGTTATTGGTTTTGACATGGCATCTGGACATCAGAAACTTTTCCAAATCCCTAATGTATTTCCATGAGCTTTTTCTATATATATATACTAGCAGCATGGGCCGGCGTTGCCCGTGCATGATTCAAAAATCGTACGACTCATACAGCAATCGCTATCACTTGACTTAAAATATTTTTGCCGTTTCTTGCATTTAAAGGAGTGCCCTTAGCCGTGCTGATGTTGCTACATTCCTTACTTCTTGTCTATCTCACACTGCGAATTTTTTCTAAGCTCTATATTAAACATTAAAATTTTTACGAAAAAAGAACTAAACAAAATGAAGACAAAACGATCAGCTTTAAAAAAAGGACTCGTAACTGGAAAAACCGAATGAAAAAAGAATGTTAACAACAAATACTTTTTCACACCCAACCCAGTTCTGCGGAATCAGAATCAACGTTGAGTTTAAGCAACCAAAGGTCCAATTGAAGTAAAGTGCCATGCAGATTTAAATTTTTCCCACTTGTGACGAATGCAGCTATCGATCTTTTTACATGCTAGCATGCTAGTTTATATTCGTGTCAGTCACGCTGGCCAATAGAATCTTCCTGTCTATTCGTGGCAGCCAGGTATAGGCTCTCACTCTGGCCAGTAGAAAATGGCTGCAAGCTACATGAAAACTGTCGTAGAAGCATGAAAAAATCGATTATTTCCACTATCGATGGGAGTTGGGAAATACAAAGTCGGTCTTGGCCTTTCGCGCTAACTTGGAGCATGTGCATGTAAAGTTTGGTGCAAATCCGTCGAAAATTGCGACCGTGCATTCGTTACACACACACACACATCCTACCTTTTATAGATAGAGATGTTCATGGTAATTGTTCTGATGGGCATTTTCGTATTTCATTAGACGTCATGAATATAAGCGAAGTACTAGATTGACTTTAAGGTCACATCATTTTACAGGTGAAATACCTACATGTAACCGTATGTTCTATGCTAAGTTTCCACCCTCGCACTTCTCGCTTGTGAAACACTCTTCCGTCTTTTGGCTTTCAAAAATATAAAAAAAAAAGGCGTGAATGCAATTTCAGTCGCTATATTTTGTCTTCTTAATTCTTTTTCGCTCATTGTTCTCTCTCCTTAATAATCATGAAATGTGGAGTGAAGCCATACTTAAGACCATTTATTTCTGAGTTCAATCTCTGTATCGGATAGTGATGAAAATTGACCGACACTTCTTTATTGTAATATTACAGAAATGGGTTAGTTAGAATTTGTAAAGAAAGTTACAATATACGCAGACGAATGTCAGAAGCTATAATAACTAAAACGTTGTGAATATAACAGCCAAGATTTTGGAGGTCGGAATCGAAATTCAAGTAATTATGGTAATTCAACATAAAAAAAAACAAACTTTCCAACAAAATTAATTAATTTGTATTGCATTGATTGAACATTTGGCAGAGAATGTCAAAGAATAGATTTTAGCGTAGTGAGATGAAAGTCAATAAACTAAGAAGATTTTGTTATAGCGTCAAATGTGCTTGAAATTTAGATTATATATTAAGTAGTCTCTAAACAAAGATAGATATTTGGGGAAGATTCTTGAGGTCTGGAACTTTGCAGGTTGTACTCATTGCAGTGTGGACTTGAAGTCACAATTACTGCTTTTCTAAATAGTTCAAGTGTATAATCATTTTTAATTATACTGGTATTTTCTACTGAATAACGCTTATATTTCCCTAGTGACATAATTTGGTGCGCAGGTGGTGTAATGGATAACGACATAAATGAGTAATCCAAAAGCTGTGTTCGAATTCTAGTCGGGTCATTTAGATTCACTTATGTGAAAATAAACTTGGAAAGGTATAAAACTATATTTTCTCCATTGGTATGATTTAAATAGTAGAACTTGTATCTGGGTAACCAAAATATTAATGCATTATTCACTCGCAAAAAACTTTCAATGCAAAATAAATCCCTGCAATAAAAGACTTACAAACTATTGATAAAGTGTCAAAAACAAGCCAATAATTCAATCAAAATTATGTTTTATACTTTATTACCTGGCACACACATATATATTCCATCTATAATTATACATATGCAGTTCTGCTGAAAAGTACTTGAAAAAAAAAACAAAAAAAACAAGGTGATATTCCAAAACAAATATTTAGTCATATTATAAGAAGTGAAACGTAACTTTTACCGATTGAATTTAAGCTTTTTATTGGCTTAATATATGAAGAACATTCAAACCTGTGCTTTAATATGAAATTTCTGAACAAGGTTTCACTAACAGGGCAATAACCCTTTAAAACTGAATAAAAACAGTTTCATAATTGCTTTTGAAAGGTGAATGTGTCTAGGACTGTTGTGGATTCCGGGATGAAATCCGGTACCAATAAATATGCAACATATCAGCGTGGCTGAGGCTTTAATACACAAGAGTGTCTCACTGCGTCTTTTTGGCCTCACATTTTCCACAGACTTGAGGTCGAACAATTACATTGAATAAATAGCTTAATCTACCGCGAGGAAATGTGTTCTCTGTGTCGTTCGAGATTGTTTTTTTCTCGTCTGAGACGATCCTACACATCTACAAATTTAGGACTCATCCATGCATTAAATAATGTTGCCATATATAGCCTGGTGTCCTTGCAACACATCTTAAAGTTCTCAACACAATACAAAGACGGATCCGTCCTGACTTTCTCTTATTTGATTTTCTGATAACTACAATCTTCAAATTTAGAACATTCAAAAAGTATTTCAAGAAAGTGCATTGCGAAAATCTGGAATAATATTGAAGAGTGAGTTCTGTCATTTTGAGACTTGTTGTTCGTTAATACAAGCACGAGATATAAATTGTGTGAAAATTTACAGAGTGTGGAAATAACTGAAAATATAAGCGTGTGATGGCCGACATTAAGCGAGGGAGTGATCATTATGTAAAATCGCCGGCAGGTTCTTTGCCAATTCACAAAAGGGAAAAAGTGCAAATCCGTAGCATCCGTTTCCTTTTCAGTTATTTCCTATTTGGCGAACAGTGATAAAAAAAAAAAATCTGAACGGAAGTTGAAAGAGCGATTTGGGGAATGTATGTGAGAACCCTTCGGCAAAACGGATTCAAATAAATGAAAATTGAACGAGGTCCTGCCAGTGAATAACGCGGTAGTTTTTTTTAAGTATTACTCTTTTATTCATATTTAGCTTATCTTTCTTCCAATCTTGGCTGTAATCTTTCTATCTATCAATCTATCTATCTATCTATCTATCTATCTATCTATCTATCTATCTATCTATCTATTCTGATCACACACACACATATATATATATTAGGTTGGTGCAACAATAATGACGTAATAATGTCGTTTTTAACGTTAAAAATACGTCAAAAACGACATTATTACGTCATTATTTTTTGCACCAACCTAATATATATATGTATTTATCTATCTCTGTCTCATTCTAATATCCCTCTCAGTATCTATCTATCTATCTAGCTATTCTGATCATATATATATATATATATATATATATATATATATATATATATATATATATATATATATATATATATATTATTCTGATATCCCTCCCTTTCCACAGCTTTATCTATTTATCTATCTATCTATCTATCTATCTATCTATCTATCTATCTATGCCTCTTCGTATATCTCAGTCTCTTTTATCTATCTATCTATTTATCTCTCTCTCTCTCTCTCTCTCTCTCTCTATATATATATATATATATATAATCAAGTGGTCTTATGTATCAAACAGTTTTCTCTTACCATCAACCTTATATTATTTAATAGTGGAATATTACTTTTTCATATCTATCTATCTATCTATCTATCTATCTATCTATCTATCTATCTATCTATCTATCTATCTATCTATCTCAATCTTTTCGTATATATCTATCTATCTATCCAATTTTCTTCTTAGAAAAATCTTGATTTATTCGGAAGGATATAAAAATTCAGAACATTTACTGTATAGGAAAAGAATGTACGAATTGTATGAAAAGAAATTGAATAAAGAGAGAAAAATTTAAATGGGCGTAAGGCAAGGATGCGTCATCTCTCCGGAATTACCTAAAGTAAACTGACAGACGATCCTACCAGCACAATAGAAAATGTGACCCAGAAATGCAAATAGGAAGATATCTTGCAACACCTAAAGAAAGTATTACGTAACAGGAGAGAAAGAAAAAAAATACTTAACTGATAAGCCATTTTCAATCCACATATTAGACAAGGAGACTTCAGACAACAGCTTACGATGACGGAAGTTAAGAAATCTTGAAATGGGTGACCGCTTGTGTATACAAGTTGCTGCAAGATTGGATTTGCGGGAAGTATAATTAATAATGGCTCGGAATTTTTAATCAGAGATTCGATTTCCAATTACATTTGGAACAATTATATTGATTGTCGTACAAATAACGCGATATTTTTAACGATTTTGAAAACCTTGTGAAAGGTATTTTTAAACGATTTCGAAAAACTTGTGAAATGTATTTTTGAATGATTGTGAACACTTTGTGAAAGGCATTTTATAACGGATGTGAACACCTTATGAAAGGTATTTTAACGAATGTGAAAATTTTTTGAGAGGTATTTTTTAACGATTGTGAAAACCTTGTGAAATGTATTTTTAACGTTTGTGAAAACCTGGTGAGAGGTATTTTGTAAGGATTGTGAAAACCCCATGAAAGGTATTTTTAACGATTGTGAAAACATTATGGATAGGTATGAAACCTTGTGAAAGGTATTTTTTAACGATTGTGAAAACCTCAGGAAAGGTATTTTTAACAATTGTGAAAACATTATGGATAGGTATGAAACCTTGTGAAAGGTATTTTTTAACGATTGTGAAAACATTATGGATAGGTATGAAACCTTGTGAAAGGTATTTTTTAACGATTGTGAAAACATTATGGATAGGTATGAAACCTTGTGAAAGGTATTTTTTAACGATTGCGAAAACATTATGGATAGGTATGAAACCTTGCGAAAGGTATTTTTAACGGTTGTGAAAACATTATGATAGGTATTTGTAACGATTGTGAAAACATTATGGATAGGTATGAAACCTTGTGAAAGGTATTTTTTACTGATTGTGAAAACCTTGTCAAAGGTATTTTTAACGACTGTGAAAACATTATGGATAGGTATGAAACCTTGTGAAAGGTATTTTTTAACGATTGTGAAAACCTTATAAAAGGTATTTTTAACGATGGTGAAAACATTATGGATAGGTATGAAACCTTGTGAAAGGTATTTTTTAACGATTGTGAAAACCTTATAAAAGGTATTTTTAACGACTGTGAAAACATTATGGATATGTATGAAACCTTGTGAAACGAATTTTTTAACGATTGTGAAAACATTATGGATAGGTATGAAACCTTGTGAAAACCATGTTAATCTAGTTCTTATCGCTCTAGCTCTGGCTTAAATTGTAAATCTTCTATGTACTAATCCTTATTATTTCCAACAATAAAATAAAATTGCCTATAAAATATTTAAATTTCGGCGTTAAATAAGCCATGGAGACTGATATGCAACTAAACAAAACAACCATTTATTGAGGCCAAAGAGAATGTGGATCTGCAGAAGCATGCTGTGAATACCAAGGTAGATTAAGTGAGAATTGGTGCGAAAAGGAAACATTTACAGATAGTCATAAAATGAGAGTTAAATCTTTTGATCACATAATGAAAATAAAAGACTTGAAGAATTTCGTATTTCAGAACATTGTGATTGCAAATGTGTCCGATGTAAACAGTTAGCACCTACACCTAAAGAGCTAGCGGGAGAAGAATGACAAAGCAATAACTGTTTATTGATTGATTTGTTGATCTGTTTTTTACGACTCATCAACCCTTTGTGTGTCATTGAAAAATGAAACACGCTTTCTTCCGAGCTGAATTGTATTGAACGACGTGGGACAATTAAATTTCAGTCACGAAGACTAGACCTAAAAACACCAGGAATTATTCTGCAGAAACCATGGCAGCAGGATGAAGTCTGAGAAAACAAGAAGTTGATATATATATATATATATATATATATATATATATAAATGAAAAAAAAATTTATATTCATACATTCTTTTTATGCATATAAATATTTAACTAAATGCTCTGTTTATAATAAACAGTATTAATAAAATGTGCCGGCCTGAATGTCCGAGAAATTTTTTTAGAAATTATACATCCTCCGACAGGAATTGAACCTGTATCATATACGAAACCGCCATATAGCCGAACGTGCTTAACCGACTTAGCCACAGAGGAGCGATTCGGTTAGCAAGGCCGATTTTACTGTTTTTAAACTACAATTCTCCATAATTTTCTCTCGTACATTCATATCTGTTCGATGCGTATCCACATGTAAACAAATGACGCCACACATTTTGAAATGGACAAAGTCCGACGATTATTTTTAAGACATTTTTATGTTCTTAAGTTCTTTTCTAGATACAAATATATAAGTAAAAACTCTGTTTATAATAAACAGTATTAACGACATTTACCGGCCTGAATGTCCGAGAAATTTTCATAGAAAATATGCATCTTCCGACAGGAATCGAAACTGTATCCTACACGTAACCGTCATATAGCCTGACATATATATGGATATATAGATGACTGTGAACGTTGAAAACAGCGCTCGGAAGTGACAGGCTGCTTCATGCTAGGCTCAATCTTCAGGTCTGATGTTTACGCCTAGCATGAACCAGCTCGTTGCCCCTGAGTTTTGTATTCAATGTTTACTTTTTATATTTACGCTCTATCTTTTGATATTGATCACTTTACATCATAAATATAGAACACCTTAAAACTATATTTTCCATATATATATATATATATATATATATATATATATATATATATATATATATATATATATATATATACATACATACATATACATATATATACATTTTTGTGCTTAAACATACTTTATATATATATATATATATATATATATATATATATATATATATATATATATATATATATATATACAAAGATAGATAGAAAGATGGAAATAAGAAAGAATGTTGATATAGAAATAAACATTGGCTGTATATTGAGAGTAACCAGACTTAGGCATCAATCATTATCTGATAAATTACATTTAAATATCACAATGTGCGTAGTATATACGGGGAATGATGAGTAAATTTTCGTAACTATAAATTTTAAATTTTGCGCATGCGCACTCTTTGTTTTTGATTTTGTCCATCGCACAGTAGTGCAAGGCACTCTTTGTGAGAAAAAGAGCACCCAAAAAAATTAAAAATTATTATAAATAGCTGAACTATATATATATATATATATATATATATATATATATGATCCCTATTTTAAGATCTATGTGCCTAATCACGATTTAACTATCTATCTATCTATCTCCCCTGATTTTTACATATCTATCTCTATCTATCTATCTATCTATCTATCTATCTATATATATATATATATATATATATATATATATATATATATATATATATATATATATATCAAGAAATTCATTCTTTCATTGGACTAAAGGGATGTTGATATGACTACACATGCACAAGCGGACGCTGATATTTTAAGCTTTTAAATTATTTTAATATATATTTTGGATATACGATCTAGCCGATTTCATTTTTTATTTATATTTTTATCACTTTTTTATTATGTATCCATATTTCGATACCAGAAGATATGCCAAGAAGCGAATTGTTGTAAGACCCCGAACAGCTATTTACTATAGATGATCTCGCAATTAAACACTCTCTATACAGTTTTGCTTATTTTAATTATAGTAGCATTTCTCATATCGCAATTATGATCAGACTAACTATTATGATAATTTTCAATATAAATACGTATATATATATATATATATATATATATATATATATATATATATATATATATATATATATATAGGCATTTTCTTCCATATCTATCTAAAATTCTGATTCAGATTTTTACATTTATATCTGCATGTTTACAATTTTTACAGATTTATAGATATGATCCTGATTTTACATCTATCTATCTATCTATCTATCTATCTATCTATTTTTTCTGATTCAAATTTTCCAGATGTATGCATCTGACCCCGATTTTACATCTATCTATCTATCTATCTATCTATCTATCTATCTATCTATCTATCTATCTATCTCCCGATTTTTACATATCTATTTTTGATCCCGATTTTTACATATTTATCTATGTATGGTCCCAATTTATACTTATCTATCTATCTATCTATCTGATCCCTATTTTACAGATGTATGTTCTAATCGCGATTTTACATCTATCTATCTATCTCCCGATTTTTACATATTTATCTATTTTTTATCCCGATTTTAACATATATATCTCCATCGTCCCTATTTTTACATATCTATCTATCTCTCTATCTATCTCTCTATCTATCTATGATTGCGAATTTTACATATCTATCTATCTAAATATATATATATATATATATTCATTATCTATCTATCTAAAGTCATTACTTAGAGGATACAAAATCGAAAAGGTATTTCATTTCATTGAAACAGACATTAAATACTTAAAAACGGTATTGCCTCCTTTACGTTCTCTTTCATTTTTCTTCCTTGTATATTTTCATTCATTTATTCATTCATTCATTCTTTTTCTGACTCTTTCTCAACTATCTACCTATCCATCTATCTCATTTTTGTTCATATCTATCTATCTATCTATCTATCTATCTATCTATCTATCTATCTATCTATCTATCTAATTTTATTCATTATCTATCTATCTGTCTATCTATATGCTCGTATGTTACGTAATAATATGTTTAAACTAAACGTTAACTGCTTTAAGAGAAATCATCATATATACAGGTAAGTAAGAGAAGAGAGTACAACCTAACGATTGAAACCACATTATACTACAATTATAACCTATTTTTTTTTTAATTAAATAACGAAATAGACTGACATATCTAGGATCAGTCGCTGAATATAATAGAAGAAAAAAACTACATCTACTTGTAAAATCGTGGAGATGGTAACGGGAAACTACTACACCATTTTCCCCAGAGAAGATGGCAATTCAGAGATAAAAAAAAGAAATCTGTCAAGAGTCATCATCGACTGTATCCAGAATGGACACGGTCTTTAGAAAAGTCGTTTTTACTTGTATACAGACACCTACTTTCGCATCATACGATCCTAATGACCTAATACATTATTCCACGTCTCTTGCAGATGATGACACAAGAGTCCAAGTATTTAGGCTTTGTCTCATCATATCCATGATATGTAGAATAGAAACAGGTCTGGCGATCCTATCGACTAGAGTAACATTCAAACATCTTCTGGAACATGTGATATATCGTCTGGTAATAATCTTGTTGGAATAGCAGGTTCGCATTTCAGTTACAGTTACTCAGCTTTTCGAGGGCTCCTCTTTGCGACTACTCGGCCTCACATTGACTGCTGACCTGAGATGGAACAAATACATTGAGTCAATAGCTTCGTCCACCGCAAGGAAAGTTGACTCTCTGTGCCGCGCCAGGAATTTTTTTCTCACCGGGATCGGTCCTTCACATCTAAAAATCAATCATTCGCCCTTGCATGGAGTATTGCTGCCATATATGATGTGGTGCCCCTTATGTTTGTCTCAAGGTTCTTGATAAGATCCAGAGACAGACATGCAACGTAAATGGCCCTGGTCTGGCATCTCGTCTGCAATCGCTCTCTCACAGACGTGTCGTCGCCTCCCTCTGTCTTTTTTTACAAATATTTTCACGGTAACTGCTCCAAGGATCTGCCTTCGCTGGTTCCCAGACGGCATGAATTTAAGCGTTCTACTAGGATGGCATCTCGCTCACACCCTTTCACTGTCGAAACTGTTAAATCTAGCCGTCTCTTCTATTCCAATAGCTTCATGTCTCGCACCTCTCACTTGTGGAACTCCTTTCTCTTTTCCTGTTTCCCTGATAGCTATAATCTCCAACTATTCAAATGTAATGTTAATCGACGTCTCCAGATGCCCTGATCTATCCCCTATCCTTCTCTTCATCCTTTCCTCTATCACTCCTATTTGCTCTCGCTCCAACTCTCTGTACACCCTTGCGTCCTAGTGGTTTCCCGCCTTGCTTGGGGTGAAACTATTTAAAAAAAATGAGTAGGCTGGTAATCATGACTCTCCACAACTTCCTGTCATTTCTAGCACTTAATAAATTGTGTCTTTTTGTTACCTCTCTTAAATTTTCTTTTGTCATCGATTTAACAATTAGTTTCAGAAATGACCACAGGTCAGAATGAGAATTACTGTGTTAAAATGTCTGCTACTTTAACGCCATGGTAAGTAGTCTCGTCCTGAGCATGTCGATAAGCTCCACCTGGCAGCAAGGTCTCTGATCGGGAGGATTAAGGAACCTGAAAAGACCACTTAATTGCTGTTGTTTCCAGAACCATTCTGACCTATGGTGGATGCACCTGTTAGGGGGCCCCAACTATGGGAAAATAGTTAACCCCCAAACTGGGGTCAAAAACACTATGAAAGTATAAAAATAGATTTTTATAGTAAAATACTAGTAATATATTTAACAAAAATGTATAAATACATATTGTATTCATACAATGCATACTAAAAATCTTGTCGGCATTAAATAACCTATTGAGGTTGATATACCAAAATGAACCAAACCAAACCAAACCAAACCAAACCAAACTACAAATTGTCCCCTTGTCAGCTGAGCTTAATTGGAGTTAGTTTGTCTTTTCATGTTTAATTTTGTAGTGGCAGATAAACAAAGCACTTAATAAAATCGGCTTTTCTAATCAGAAAATAATCAAAGTAACACGCATTATACAGCCTTTTTAAACCACAAGAACATTGTAATAACTCATATTTTAATTTAAAGAAAACATATTTCAACAACTTCAGAGACAAAAGGAAATTTATATTGTTAAAGAATAGTTTAAAAGAATATTATTATTAGAGAAATTTATCGCTGCTCCGACTTCCTGATGTTGGCCTCTGAGGTTAGATTCAAGACAAAACAAAGGAAGTCGATCTAGATTGGCTGAGCCAGCGTTAGAACGATAAACAGAAAAAAGTTTTTCAGTGAGTCGAGTCTAAATCGTCAAAAATATAAACGTATTTCCTTGGTATCTGCTCTCCATTGGCATGAGAAGCCACTGGATATTTCGAAATGTACAGGTTGACGTGGTTAATAAAATAGTTTCAAATTATCTTTGTTGATGTCTTTCGTATCTCAACCAAATCGTCAAGAGAAGAGAAAGAGTATAAAACATTTTATTAATTGCTGCAGTGAATTGATAGATTGCGGTTTTCCTTTTGTTTAGTATAGTCTTGTAGAGCCGCCATTAATTTCTAGAAGCGAACTTGCTAAATGCTATACGCTTTTTCATTGTACCAGCAAACAGTAACGTCGCTTCTTTTAGGACACATCTACACACGTTACGTGCTGAAACAAAGAGACTAATGTTACAATCAGCCGGAAGAAATGATCCATATGTGCTATCGCAACTGAGAATACAAAGTAGACCCAAGGAGATAAACGCGATTTAACTTGATATTTCCTGCAATGAAAATATCATTGCCAGCTTTTACGCAGAAGATGACCACAGAAGCGCATTGCTGAACAGAATGACTAAAAACATCATTCCAGGGACATCAAGAAAAAAATTACGGAACAAGCCTCAATCCACTCATTGATATCAGAAAGATATTCTGTTTTTAGGAAGTCCGTAGCTGATGTGGGAGATGAAAGACAAATTTACAGACGCTACCGCATGATCAGAGATACCAAGAGGGCAGAGCTGCCTAGTTAAGCATGTTTTGGGGATAGAGGTAAAAAAGGAGATATAAAAGATAAACTTGCCCATCAGGGTTACTGGAGGAACACGTAGGGAAGTCAAACACTTGATTGAGAGATTGAGTGACTATGAAGTTAAGGATTTAGATGCCAACGACATAAGGGCCAGTGTGTTTAAGCCACCTGGCATAGTGGGCAGTAAAGTCACCGGACACAAATATATATGCAAACGGGTTGGGAAATGTCCTTATCTACATTATCAGAAATAATATCTTGCAGGCAACAGTCTTGAGGAGGAGAGAGGCACTAGGGTTAGAAAAAATAGCTTAAGTACAGAAACACGGAGACACATTTCAGAATGTTCTGAAGATTCAAGAGAGAGATCACAGAGAGAAATGTTCGTGGACATAAACTCCCAGGACATGCATGTGGATATTAAAGTCCTTGCTCAAGAGAGGAAGGTAGCCATAAATCGTGAATCTATAAGGAAGTGTTTGAAGAGTTACGATTATTTTCGCAGGGTCTCTGGAGACTTTTCGAAGAGGAACGATTCCACACTCCAGATGTTGGTACGGATACCAAAAATGTCGGAGAAAGAAAGGTTGGGGTGTTTTTATTGATCTGGTTTAGGTATATACACTGCGTGGCAAATTATTATAGAGATAACTTCTTTTCAAATATTTAAAAAACCGTCCAATCAATTCACACAAAATTTTCACACACTCTTGGCAACCCTGACCTGCGCAATCACTAAAATTTTCGTACTGATCTGCGCAATATAAACAAACATTATTTGTTATTAGCACGGTGATTTGACCGTGCCAAATTATTAGAAAAGTGTAAGAATTTAGTGAAATGACGGGACGTAAAAGCAGTTTAAGTGATGCTGAAAAGAAACCTACACCTCAGAACTCTCAAAAGGTACATCTACCCTAGAAATTTCTAAAATGATAGGGGGTGTCATCAAACAGTGAAAAAGTTCACCACCGAACCTATACAAGTACGCAAAAGGGCAAATAAAGGGTTATTTCACGTCGTCTCATGTCACGACTTAAACGAGAGGCTAGGAAGAACCCTGAACTTACTAGCCAAGGGCTTTTCCGTGGCACTGGGGATCCTACTGTGTCTAAAAGTACTCGGTGTCGGTATCTGAGGGAAATAGCAACAACAGTCAAACCTGTATCGACGGTTTTTGAAATATTAGAAAAATGTTATCTCGATAATAATTTGGCACGAAGTGTATATCTGGTGGTTTATAGTCCTGGTGTATTATTTTGGTAAAGAAAGACCTATGTTAGCAGTAGCTATCTGTCGTCTAATGAAACATCTACTGGAAGGTTACTGACGCAAATATCAATATACTCTTACCGCGGTTTAGTTTTACTTCAAAATAAAGCATATACATTTACTATTTCCATAATTATTGTGAGACCGGAACTACCTACACAATAGAATCTTCCAGGTCTATATTAAGTATGCTACACAACACTCTAGTGAGAGTGACAGAGAGTGACAGTGAGAGTCTAGTACGACTAGACACTTACACTATCTCTGTAACCTGTTGTTAATATATCTTTCTTACATCTAATCCATGCTCCGTGTTTCCCTTCTGTGGTCCCAACTTTGGCCCCACATCAATAATACACTACCTAAATTTATCTATTAGTAAAAAACAAAATTTATTTTTCATCGAAATGTTATTGGTGTACATCGAAATAAATTCAGAGTAAAATGATTGAGGGTTGAAAATATGGTTAAGAACAGCTGATTTAGATTGTCAGGATAAATTCATAGTTTGGAAACGATAAGAAAGGAAAGGTCGTTGAATAAGATTCGAAAAACGAAGGCCCAAGGGCAATGTCCCGAACAATGCCAGAACAATGGTGATATTATCTAGAAACGTGTCTGCTTAACACGGTCTTCATAACAAGATTAGTTAAAAACGT